TCACATTGCATGTTCACCACCCAGAGTCAGTTCTCCTTCCATCACCATATATTTGACCTCGTTTACCCTCTTCTGCTACCCCTCTCCCACCTAAGCTGTTTTTAAGGATGCTCTGTGTTTGCAAATGCTGTTTTTGCCTCCCTCTTTAGTGCTTGCTATGTTTCTTTTGCCTCTCAAGGTCCATCTCAGATCCCACCTCAGTGAACCCTTCCCTGACTCCCTCAGAGAGCCTAGTCCTTCCATCCCTCTGTGATCCCCTTGTGTCTGCCCTCACCTGTTACAGCACTGACCATGTGCTGTGTCCCCTCTGCCCTGGCCTTTGTTTCATGTTCTGCGCTGTTTGTCCTTGGTGCCTTGGCCCTGTGCTTGGTGCAGAATGGTTGGTATAGGGAGTTGGCAGACAGAGGTGGAGGGAGGTGGCAGGTGGCTCAGGGTGACTGTGGATGGACTGTGCTGGTGCCAGGCTGTGGAGGGCCAGGAGGCCAGGCCAGGTAGCTCTGAGTCTGCTTTCTGGGTGGTTCTGTACATCACCGCCATGCAGGGAGGGGCCCCTAGAGTGCCCTGCTCCTTGGTGGGGACTCAACCTCTTTTTTTTTTTTTAAAGTATGTGTGTTTTTAAAGTAAAAATAACATAATCACATTATAGAAAATTTGGAAAACTAAATAAATCATCCATATTTCTACCAGTCTTTGCAACCATTGTTATTTTGATGTGTGTTTCTGCCAGTCTCTTTTCATGTGAGTACTTTTGACCAAAAAAAAAAAAAAAAGTATTCATGTAACAAAGCCTTTTCTGTGTTGCTGCCTATGTTCATAGCTGTGACTTTTAATGGCTGTTGAGGCCATCGAGGGAACACAAGAACATACTGTGCTTACTGTCAGTGGTATTTAAGTCATCTCCTGCTTGCAAATATTGGTGCAATGAATATCTTTGCAGATACAGATTTTTACATGTTTTTGTCATATTTCCTGAGGATGGATTCTCAGGTTCTAGGTCATAGAGTACCAAGGTTAACTGTGGCTCTCTGTGCACTTGAGACCCAGCCAGCCTGTCTGGGATGATGGTCCTTTCTTGTTCTGTGACACACAGCCTCCAAAGCAAATAGGACTTCACAGCGGTTCCAAAGTATTGGTGCCTCTGTGCCTCCCAGAGAGAATGGCTGAGTTTTTTTAGTCCATGAGATTCTTATTTAATGTGTTTATTTGGAGCCTGAAATAAACCCTACATTGGGAGCTTGGGTGGAGTGTAGGGTGGGAAGGCAAGGAAAAGTCTCAGAGCTCGAGCATAGCCAGGACCTGTGAGACGCAGGGGAAGAGATTGCCAAACCAGTGAAAACAAGTGTGTTTTTCAAGGTACACCCTACCCCCACCCCCACCCCCGCAGAGCTCTAGCCCCACTCTGCCTCTTTTCTCTCGGGTCCCTCACACCCTGTGACAAGGAAGTGTTCTCCTGCCCCTGGGCTGTGGTAGGCCTTCCTCCCCTCCTCTTGGAACACTTGCCTGCCTTGAAGCCCTGCGGACCTCCCCTCTCCTCCCCCCACCTGTTCTCACTCTGCCCTGCGCTCTTATTCTGGTTGCACATGTCTCAGCTCCCAGTTGGCAAGACTCTGGAATGACAAGAGCTGTGTCCTGTTCGTCTTGGTGTGTCCCTCACACTGTTTGTGATTGTTCACGGAATGAAAAGAACTGAGTTCAGCTTTTTATTTGTTATAAATTCAGTACAAGGCCTTAGTCAGTCTGAGGCCTTTGGCACTGAGGGGGTTTTAGGTTACTTCTTTGCAAGTGAAACTTAGCTCTTACCACCCTTTTAAATAACTACTTGACCCACTTATGAGTCAGCAGATGCTTGGTGAGTGGGAAAGATTGCTGCTGCTGACTTCCTCTGCCTGAGGGTCCTCATTCAGGCCAGCCAGTGTGAGCCCTAGTTGGCAGATGCGCTGCCTGTGACCGGCCAAGGGTGTTCCCCAGGACTTCCCTGAGGCCCAAAACAAAAAAAGGAGTAGAAGCAGTTGTCCCAGTCACTCCCAGTGCCTTTGTCAGGTCCTTCTGAAGCGGGGCTCGTTCCTTTAGCCACAGATGATGGAGTACCTTCCATCTGTCGGACGCTGTCTCGGGCTGTGGGGTGCTGCCTCGGGCTGTGGGGTGCAGTGCTGCCCCAGGCATACCTGGACCTTGCCCCCTCGCACTCAGGTTTACACTTGTGTCTTCAGAGACAGACTTGGATTCAGAGTCGGGCTCAGCCAGTACCCCTGAGATCTTGGATGAGTTGCTTCCCCTACGAGCGGGGGACTTTTTCCAGCTGCAAACTACAAATACTGCCTGCCCCCTTCACAGGGTGGCTGGGAGGTGGAATGGGACGAGGATCCTCGGCTGAGCCACAGGACACAGAAACTGATTTGATGACTTTTCTCCATTCTCTCCGTAACCAGGACAGTGTTAGATGCACGGGTGAGAAGTCAAGTCACTGCAGACAGAGGATGCCTTAGGGCAGTGAGGCATTATTCTCTCAAGAAACCAGGTTGAGACAGGCTGCTAGATCCTTCTTTTCCGATGGCTTGACACAGTGGCCAGTTCTGGGGTGACTAGAAGTTCATAGTAGCTTCCCAGTGTGGTAAGCCTGGCACGCAGTAGACTCTCAGTAAATGTCAGCTCCCTTCCTCAGCCCCTCCTCCTCCTGCTCCCTCCCTCTCTCCCCAGGCCTCAGCTTCTCTTGAAACCACCCATGTCTTTCCTCTTTTGGAAAGAGCCTAGGTGTCCTCAGGTGGGAGGTACCCGTGTCTCCCAGAGTGTTCCAGGCTCCTCTTCCCAGGCATGGTGCTCTGGGACCTGGGGCTGCCATTGCAATGCCGGTGCCCTCTTCTCTGCGCCCTGGCATTTGGGCAGTGCCTCCTAGAGAGAGCCGAGAAGACCTACAGCACGTGGCATTTATTCTCAGATATAACCTGAGCTGCGGCTCTGCACAGGCTCTTTGCCGAGCAATGGGAAGCCCCAGTATGAGCTGGAAGCCCCAGAAGTGCCTGGCCGCAGTTTGCAGCCTGCTAGTAGAGGTGGGATTTGTTTATGGTGAGCCTGGTGTCCTCAAGATTTTAGAAAAAAGAGGAGGGATCAGTGTGGACAGGGTAGTGAGCCCCTGCTCCCCAGAGTCCTCTTCTGGCTGACTTTGGTAAAGAAAATGACACATCTTCATGGGCCTGGAGGTGCATATTAAACATGTGCGCCTCAGCCAGTTGTGTGTGCCAACTCCTGAAACTGCTACCAGAGCCGCCCTCTGTCCTCTGTGCTGTGGCGAGTCAGACTGGAGTAACCAGTTCCTCGGATGGTGGGTCTGATTTCAGTGACTTCAGCTCCCTTACTCCGCTGTGGGTTGGTGTCTGCTCAGTCTAAAAGGGGAACAGATACTGAGCCTGAATCTTTCTTGCAGGAAGCTAGCCCACTCATTCCAGGAGAAATCTGCTAGTTGCTTACTCAAAAAATAACCTCAAGGCCAGCTCCTCCAGCTCCATGTGGCCCCCCAAACCTCATCTTATCACTTTGTCCAAGTTACAGGAGCCACCAGTCAGGGATGGTGTCCCACAGAAAGGATATAACTACCTTCTTCTTTGCAGAGGAGAGTGGGTGGGGGTGCAGAGAGTGAGGCACAACCACAGACAAGGAGTGAGTTAGGGTGTGTGCCCAACTCTGAGCTGGGCCCTAGGACTGGTCAGACAGCCTTACCCTCTAGGAACTGGTGCCCAGGTGGGAAGATGAGAGTTGATACACGTGAAAAGGTTAGAGAACATACTTAGCTGACCCTGAGCCCTATGAATGTTTAGAATAGGGAAACAGCTCCTATCCTGAGACCTAGGACAAGTATTGCACCATGATGAGTGTGTGTTTCCTCATAGAAAAATTGAGGGGTTTCTCTGGGGGTCTGTCTAATGTTAACACTGTGTTTAAGAATCCAGCCTTAATGGAGGCTTCCTGGGGGAGGTGAGGCTAGGCCGGCAGGCCAACAGCATCTGATGAGCAGTGAGGGACGGGGCTGGGAGGGTGAGGCCTGCAGACCGGAGCCTAGTCAAGGCCTGTAACGGGCCTTGGCAGAGTCCAGTGGCCGTCTGCCCACCCTCACAGCTGTTTCTCCCAGAGCCCAGGCATCGCTGTTGAGCTGGACCTGAGCCCCATACCTGTTCTGTAGGGGGCAGGTGGAGTAATGGGAGCTTTGCTGGATGAGGGGCAGGCTGGAGACAGGCCAACCCTGGCCATCAGGATGAAGAGGGCAGCAGGAGCCCTGTGCAGGCCCTGGCCAAAAGGGCTGACCTCAGCAGAGGTCAGATGGGTTAAGGGGAGGTTAAACACTTAGGCAAAGGCTGTGTTCTGAGGACAGTTTTGCATTTTTTAAAAAGAATCCAGATAAAAACCAAAATCATTTTTCCAGCATTTTATCTGCACCCTTCACATCTCTTTATTCCTCGCAAGTCTGCCTGATTTAATCAAATCAGCACAGGTTTTTGTTCCAGAACCTTGAGCTGTCCTTTAAAAACTAAGAGGAATAAAGGCTTTCTGTAAAATAAGAAATACAACAGTACAGAAAGGTTATAAAGGGACAAGTCGCCACCCATACCACCCCATTCACCCCCTGCCCCCAACCCCACCACCTGGAGGTAAATTCTGTGAACCACTGGGAACTATAATGGGCCCTAACAGAAACGTGTGTGGTGTCACTTTCCAGGCCTCAGAGTGTAAAGCTTGCTTTGTGTCTATTCTGGGACATCACCTGGGCTGAAATCCAGCCCCTTTCCAGAGAGGGGAAAGAGACTGCCGCTGTGGTGTGGCCGGGGCTGGGCACGGGCACAGGAGCCTTCCAGAGAGGCTCCTCAGGGCCCCAGGAAGGGCCGTCAGCAGCCTCGCCTTAGCCCTGCATCCCTGGGACTGCCTGTGGGCCCTGAGCTGGTGGCTCCTCGCCCTCTCACCAAGGTTCTCTCTTCTCCTCAGCGCCTAATGGCTCTTTTTCACCTTCTCAGGATCCCTCTGTGACCCAGCTGACCAATGCCCCACAAGGTGGCCTGGCTGAATTCAACCCCTTCTCAGAGGTTGGTGAGCATGTCCCCTTTTTGAGTCCTCCGGTTCTCTGGGTGGTGTTGGGGTCTCTGAGACAAGGGGCCTTGGCAGAGACAGAGTGCTCCGCAAAGCTTCAGTCCTCCAGGGGACAGTCTTAACGCAAACTCGGGGGGTGGGGAAAGATGAGGAAGTCAGCAATTTTCCCCTTGGGGTCTATGATCTGGGCCCTTCCCTGAAGAGGTCAGGTAGGGCAGTGCCAGGTGCTGTAGATCCAGAAAGGCCAGAGGTGCTGGGTTAGGCATCACATCGCCGAGCCAGAGGCTTTTGGCTGAGGAGCTGCAGAGGGAGGCCCAGAGGGAGTACTCCTCACAGGCAGGGCACATCACTCGCCCTGCTGTGAGTTTGCCTCCGTGTGGCTAACGAGTGGAGTCCACTCACCTCACTCCTTTGATCCGTCGCACACAGACAAATGCGGCCACAACGGTTCCTGTCACCCAGCATCCTGGGCCCTCACAGCCAGCAGTTCTCCAGCCCTCTGTGGAACCAGCCCAGCCAACACCCCAGGTACTGTTGACAGAGGTCCCTTTTGCCTCTCCTTCCCAGAAAGGGAAGCACCCAGACCAGTGCTGAGTCCTGAGATTGGAGGGTGGGCAGAGGGCCTTAACCCTTGCTCCTCTTCAAGAGCCCTCTTGATAATCTCTTTGGGGTCGTCACTCGCATATTGAAGGTCTCCTTGCATATACCCTCACCCCCGACCCAACTGCCAGCACAAAACAACAAGCCCTACTCACCAGGCTGGCTCCTGGGTGTCTTCAGACAGAACAGTGCCCTGGTCATGCCACTCCGGGTCCTCCCAGGGCTTTTGATTTGTTCTGTTACTCAGGGCGCAGGATCTGTCTGGGTTTTTTAACCTCATTTATTGCTGCCTTCCTTCCTGTTTTCCTTTGTCCCATCACCAAATACTGTGAGTCTCGTCCGCTTGGTGCCTAGCTCTTCACACCCTGCCTCACTGCCTTGCCCCACGCCCTTCGCTGCCCCAGTGAGCGTGACCCACAGTGAGTTGTGTGTTGCAGCTCCTGCTTAGGCTAGCAAGTTCCTGCCTCCCAGATTCCTCCCAGATTTGCTCTCTGAGCAAGCTCTCAGAGAGGCAGATGCTCCTAGGAGGAGATCGTATTCTCAGAGACAGCTACATGCGAAAGCTTCCGCAGATAGGCACAGGGTAGTAAGCGAGGCGCCTGGGGCTGCCCAAGCTGGGCTCTGGACTCCAGTGGGCCCCCGGCTGCTCCCGTCATCCAGCCGGACTCAGCCTGGAAGCGCTGCTCCTGCCTGGGCCCCTGGGCCCCGTCCACGCCCCAGAATCCTGTAAGATGAGGCCTAGAGGCAGAGGAGACCTTCTTGTCGAACTGGGTGGTGGGTTGTAGGGACTTGACTCCTGTTCAACTAAAGTCAGACTTGGGGAGAAGAGGCTGAAACCCTCGGTGTGGTCGATTCTGGTCCTGCTTCTACCCCCATGCCCACGATTTCCCTCTTGAAGGCAGCCTTAGCTTTATGAGCACTCCTTTTGGAGACAGAGCGACGAAATACACATATGTATGTACACATATGCCGGGCTTGTTAGCTGGTGAGATGACCAGTTTGATACTTGCTTCCTGAAAAGGACTTTAGACGTCAGGGGAACTGGGTCCACCAGCTGCAGTTCCCAGCAGGAGCACACCATGGGCTGGAACTCTGACCCTGCTCTGCTCAGCCTCACATACAGGCCCCTCGCTGCCTCACTCAGAGGCCCTGCTCTGTCTGGGGAGGGGAGAACGCTTGGGCTCTGCATGCCCAGGAGGCCAGGCAGAGCAGGGCCAAGCCTGAGGAACTGTCCTGGGGTGTAGCCGGTCACAGCTCAGGTGGACTTTGGGGCAGCTCCTGGGAGCAGAGCAGGGAGAGGCGCTTAAATACAGATTTTTTAGGCTCCAGGTACACAGTCTGCCCTCAAGTGCCTCGCTTCCCCACTCACTGCAAGCACATTTGTACTGTTTCGCTTTACACACACCTCCGCTAGGCTTCTCAAATGAGGCTTTGGTCACTGGGTCCCTGGCTACGGGGCAGTCTCTTGTGAGGCCTCTTTCCCACTGATACTGCCCCAAAGGTCACTGAACTTTGCCTGGACTCCAATAAAGGGGATGGTTCTCCTATCTCAAGCTTCAGGATGAAGGGGTGAGGAGAGCCCTATTAATGGCAAGGGGCCAGAGGTGGTGTAGGGGCAGTAGGGGACAGGCCTCCCTGTGGTGGTCTCAGGTACCTAAGACACGGTGGGGCTGGGACTGCATGGGGCACGGTCCCTCTGCCTTCCTGCGCAGGCCAACACTATCCCTCTATATTTCGGATCTAGTTGCCTCCACGTCCCCTTTTTGCTCTAGGCTGTGGCCTCTGCAGCCCAGGCAAGCCTGCTCCGGCAGCAGGAAGAACTGGACAGGAAGGCAGCTGAGCTGGAACGCAAGGAGCGGGAGCTACAGAACACTGTGGCCAGCCTACATGGTAAGGGAGCTGGGTGGACAGTGCCCTGAGTGTGCTTGTTCCTGGGGCAGCCTCACCTTTGCTGAACTCTCAGTCATCTTAGAATGGTCCTGGCGAGAGCGAGGGGTGGAAGTCAGGAGACATGAACTGTAATCCTAGTGGATGTGGTTTATTTCTGTGCTCCTTCCTGGCCCTAAAATTCTTTGATTGAGTAGGGGCACTGGTCCCTCAGTTCCTTGCTTATGGGCTGTTGTTGATAAAAATAATCACTTCGGCTGTTTAGTTCTGTGTTTCCTAGTGCTTTTGGGGTCATGAGCTTGTGGGCGTGTGTCCCATCCCACTCGTACCCATGGAGACCCTGCTCCCCACTTGCTGGTACCCCTCCCGGAGCCCTGGGAGGCCGTAGCTGGGCCGGTGTGTGCCCCCTGCCGGCTGCAGCTGAAGTGGGCCTCACATCGTCCTCTTTTTCTACACAGTGAGAGAGAACAACTGGCCACCCTTCCCCTTGTGGTGCCCGGTCAAGCCCTGCTTCTATCAGGATTTCTCCACAGAGATCCCCACCGACTACCAGCAGATATGCAAGATGCTCTACTATCTCTGGATGTGTGAGTCGGCTCCTGCCCCTCTGAGCTCAAGGGTGAAGTGGGGTGTGTTCTGAGAGCCCCGTCTATGCTCTGGCTGCTCCTCCCTGGCAGACTGCAGCCTTCCTCAGTGCCGGCCGGGCTGTGGGAGACCGTCTGCCCACATAAGCGGCCCTCCAGTCTGCTCCTTGTCCTGGGAACCTTCCCTCAAGGACTAGTCCAGACCACATGTCAAGTGGGTGGGATTAGCCAGAGGGTCTGAGTCCCTGCGGAGCCCGCTGCACAGAGGCCCTGCTTAGATGATGGCCTCGCCTCCCCACAGGCCCCTGGGCTCCTAGGAGTGAGGCTGAGAGACTCCTTGTCGCACCCCTGCGGGTCACCCCAGGAAAAGACTGGCTGAGAGAAAGACTACATTTCCACGGATCAGCCCTTGGGTCTGAACCCCCCTCCACTGCCATCCCTCGAATACCTGGGCTGTCCCGTTACTTCTTAGGAGCTGGTTTGGTCCCAGAAAAGCAGGAATGGGAGCTCCCCTGGGAGTTCTCTACTCCTTCTGCAGCTGCCCTATAATGGACCTCACCTCCTCTCCAGGGCTGATTGGCCACATCTGGGCCCTTCAGCTACATTGGCTCCAGCCTTTGTCTGTCTGCCCCCTCCACAGTGCACTCCGTGACTCTGTTCCTCAACCTGCTTGCCTGCCTGGCCTGGTTCCTAGTCGACAGCAGCAAGGGAGTGGACTTCGGCCTCTCGATCCTGTGGTTTGTGATCTTCACCCCCTGTGCCTTCCTTTGTTGGTACCGACCCATCTATAAGGCCTTCAGGTGAGTGGGGCTGGGGCAAGGCGGGTAGTATATGGCTGCCATCCCAGGTAGCCAGCCAAGGACCACGAGCCTGGGTTCCCCATCCCAGCCAGAACAGAAGAGAATGGTGGGAAATTCCCTTCTAGTCCCACCCACAGCCAGAGCAGGCAGGGATCGGAGTCATTCTCCTTCGTTGTAACTGAGGTCTGCTCTGGTGCAGTAGGATTTCAGTCCCTGGAAGAGGGAGGGGACTTCCCAGCTCCCTTCTGGGGCTCTAGGGTGTGTCTCTGATACAGCCGGACTCAGATACCTCTCAGTGGCTCACTCTCCGGGTTCACCTACACCCCTCCCTTACCTCCCTAGGAACCCTGGAGCATCTCTGAGTGCCAATATTTGACTGGTTGACCTAGAGTAGATACTGTGGACATTAATGGATCCACTTCACAAATGCCTAGTGCTTTTGGGATTGTGCTTCAGAGCTGATGCTTTCCGGGTTAGGAGCCCAGAAGACCCTGGGAATAGGGCACAGGGTGGTGGCTGAACCCCCACCCCATGCACTCAGCAGGCAGGACCTGAGCTCTGGCTGTATTCTAGCCCTCAAGGTCCTGGAGATGGAATTACTCAAAACGCCAGTGTTGTGTAGTGTTTTCTACTTCCCAAATACCTTTTCTGCCACCCAGGCTTATGGTTTTATTATTAGAGGTTTCTTCCTTTGGTTTAGATTTTTTTCCCTGTTAGGAAATGCAGATAAGTACTCCAGGAGATGGACTGTTAAGCTCTTTATATTGTCCTTTGGATAAGCAACTTGATTAGCTCTTCCAGGAAGGGGTCAAGCACTGACCTCTTAAATTGGAAGGCAGTGAAAGGCAAGCCCTTTTTTATTATAGTTGGGGGGTGTCTCTGTATGGCTGGTCCCCTGAAGCTCTGTCTACTCTCCTATTTTGCAACCTGGCTCCTAGGGAGGAGAAATGGCAGACCAAGTGAGGAATGCTGAGGAATGAGTCCCAAATCCTCTTGTGACTTCTGATCTCCCCTCTCTCCACAGGTCCGACAACTCTTTCAGCTTCTTCGTGTTCTTCTTTGTATTTTTTTGTCAAATAGGGATCTATATCATCCAGTTGATCGGCATCCCTAACCTGGGGGACAGGTGAGACCTGGGCCAGTACAGAGGGAACTATGCTTTGGAGGCGAGGCTCAGTCCCTCTCACCCTATTTTGCAGCCCCAGAGAGCCCCCACAGATGACCCCTCTTCCACCATGGCAGGGAGAGCGGTAGCTGGGCCAGCTTGGATCTGCCTTCAGGCCCCTCTCCAGTTCTTCATTGGTAGCCAGCCACTCACTGTCTTTTGTTACCCGACACTTTCTGGGGTTTTGTGGGTGAACTTGGCCTGAGTGCTTAGGCTACCTGGGCTGGATTGCAGCCTCTTCATTTTCTCCTGCTACGCCCTCCTGGAGGCTGGTGCTATTTCCACAGGTCCCAGACAAGCCCTTGGGCTTGAGTGACTGCTGATGGAGGCCCTGGTCTTTGTGGACTCTGAGCTGTGACTTTTTCCAGAGGTCCTGTAGCCTCAGGAGATGGAGCCTCTCCTGGGTGGGCCCCTCCACCTGCTCTCTCTGAGCATACCGTTGGCTTGAGTTTCCTGGGTGCTGTAGTCCTCTGCTCAGAATTAGTCTCAAAAAGAAAAGCTGATGGTTGATGTTTTCCTTTCTGCCTCAGTGCCCAGGAAACATTACAGGAAGGTCAGGCTGGCACTTGGCAAAAAGCCTGAGCTTGGAAGGGGTGCACTGTTTTAGTCCCCTCCCTCCAGTGGAGCTGGCAAGTCTGGAGCAGTGGGGAGGGGCTGACTCATCTTGAGCTCTGAGCAGGGTATGCCACCCTCCCACCACCCCTCTTACTTCTCAATCTGGCCCCCTTTCTCTTTGTTTGATGACCCACTTTCATTACTCGATACCCTCAGTAAGGTCCTGATAGAAAGGCTGTGATTAATTACTGCCATTTGCACCTTGGACTCGAGTCAGAAGGCTCATTTTTTGTTTGTTTGGTTTTTTTTTTGGTCCTAACTCCGCCCCTCACTGCCCGGCCTGAGCCTCCCTGGAAGAGATCTGCAGCCTCCAGCCTCCCAATGCCTTTCTCATCTCACTTCCTAACACAGGGGTGGGGTGTGTGTGGATATAATCGCCCCCCCGCCTTTTGTTACTGATTGTAAAGTACACATAACATAAAGTTTATCATTTTGTTTATCACTTATACCATTTTAGAGTATATAATTCAGTGGCATTTAGTATGTTTATAAGGCTGTGCAGTCAGCACCTCTGTCTCGTTCCAGGACATTTTCACCACCCCAAAAGGAAACTCCACACCCATTAGCAGTCCCTCTGCACTCCCTCCTTCTCTGAGCCCCTGGCAGCTATTAAACTGCTTTCAGTCTCTGGATGTGCCTGTTCTGGACATTTCATATAAATGGAATCACACGGCATGTGGCTTCCTGAGTGTGGCTTCGTTCACACAGCAAGGTGTTTGCACGGTCCGTGTCATAGCGTGGATCAGTACCCAGGTTCCTTTTACAGTGGGATGCTCCGTCGTTTGGATGTACTACATTGTGTTCATCCACCCAGCACGTGACATGGATTTGGGCTGTTTTTCTTTTTTGCTGTTGTGAATGGTGCTGCTACAAACATCTGTGTACAAGCTTTTAGTGCCTGTTTTCAGTTCTTTTGAGTTTTTGTATCTAGGAGTGGAATTGCTGGGTCACATGGTAATTCCGAGTCTAATTTATGAGGAACTGCCAATTGTTTCCTGCATTGGCCACTTTACATTCCCGATAGCAGTGTATGAGGGTTTCTCTACATCCTTGCCAACACTTGTTATTTTATTTATTTTTTTCTTTCTGTTATTGTCAACCTAGAGGTGTGATGTCTCATGTTTTTTGACTGGCATTTCCTGGTTGATCATCTTTTATGTGTTTCTTGGCCATCTGTGTATCTTATTTGGAGAAATATCTGTTGAAGTCCTTTGCTAATTCAGTAATTGGATTCTCTTTTTGTTTTTGAGTTCTTTATATATTCCAGATATTATCTTTTTATCAGATAAGTAATTTATAGTTTTTTTCCATTCTGTGTGTTCATTCCTTTTTTTTCCCTTTATTATTATTATTTTTTTAATTTATTTTCTTTCATTCTTAATAGTATCCTTTGAGGTACAAAAGTTCTTTTTTTTTGTTTTTTAGCTGAGCCATCCTGCCACCTGTTGGCAGCTCAGCAGCTGCTCAGCTCGGGCCGGGACTTGAACCGCTGTTGCTCAGAGCTCAAACTCTTGAGCGAGCTCTTAACCAACTGAGCCACTCGGCCAGCCCCAAAAGTTCTTAATTTTGATGAAGTCCCATTTAGTATGTTCTTCTTTTGTTGCTTGTGCTTTGGGTGTCATATTTAAGAACCATTGCCAAATGCAAGGTCATGAAGAGTTAGCTCCGTTTTTTTCCAAGAGTTTTATAGTGTGAGTTGTTATTAGGTTGTTGATCAGTTTTGAGTTAATTTTTGTGTATGGCTGAAGTAAGGGTGCAGCTTCACTGCTCTGCATGTGGAGGTCCAGCAGTCCCAGCACCATCTGTTACAGAGACCATTTTCCCTTTCGCTGGTCTGGGCACCTTTGTGAACACCAGTTGACGACAGATGTATGGGTTTGTTTCTGGACTCCTAATTCTGTGCCATTGATCTATATATGGCTGTCCTTATGCCAGTACCACACTGTTTTGATATTTGTAGCTTTGTAGTAATTTTTAACTCATGAAGTATGAGGACATGCCCTTGTATAGATGAGGCTAAGGAGGGAGACATGACTGACTGGAGGCAGGGGGCTGTCCCTGGGCCCCAGTGGGAAGAGCTGAGGGATAGGACGAATGCAGTGGATTGGCCAATAGTTCTTTCCAGAGGCCGGGCCCTCAGAACGGGGCAGCTGTGCTTTCCAGCAGTAGGAAAAGGCCATACCCAGTGTTACGCATGACTGTGAGGGCTGTGAGGGAGGCAGCTACATCCTCCATCCCAGACCTCATGTGGCCCACAGATTCCCCAGAGGCAGCTGGGGGGGTAGGGGGCGCAAAGGCTTCTGGACTCCAGAGCTTGGTGCTGCAGGCAATGCCTGGATGTGGTCAGCAAACAGCGCCCACCTGGAGCAGAGCCCCCCTGGGGACCTCTGGGCTCTCCCCCACTCGCCCTCTCCGCCTCCTCCTCCCTTCACAGTGGTTGGATTGCAGCCCTGTCTACCCTGAAGAAAGACTTGGCAGTGTCGATCATCATGATGGTGGCGGCTGGCTTCTTCACCCTCTGTACCGTGCTCTCCCTCTTCCTCCTGAAGCGGGTGAGTGGTGGGTGCTGGGCCAACAGCAAACTGAGGAAGCAGGCTCCTCTCTCCTGCCTTCACCATGGGGGTGTTTGTTCATCACTACAGCAGAGGGGCCTCCTGGGTCCCCAAAGGCCCAGCAGCTTTCTCCCAGGCTCCGGGTGGGAAGTTCGGCGGGCTTGGGTCCAGGTGGGCCTCTCTCACCACAGCCTGTTTCCCCAGGTGCACTCCATGTACCGCCGGACGGGAGCCAGCTTTCAGCAGGCCCAAGAGGAGTTTTCCCAGGGCATCTTCAGCAGCAGGACCTTTCGCAGCGCTGCGTCGTCTGCTGCCCAAGGAGCCTTTCAAGGGAATTAGCCCTGACTCTCCCCTCTGCTCCAGCCTTTTCTCCAGCCTGCCTTCTGAACCGCACTTCCCGTGGGTGCCTTAAGCAGTGCTTGTGCCCAGCACAGACCCGGGGAGGGGCTTGTCGTGGCCCTTCCTCCTTCCTCAGCAGCCAGCTCTCCCTTTCACCCGAGGGGAGGGAAGGGAGGGAGGCAAAGGGACATTTTTACACAAGAGAAAAGAAAAACATGGTCTTTCCTTCTCTGGTGGTCGTTTGGTAGGATTCTTTCGTCTCTCTGGAAGCAGTGGCACTGAAGTTCCCTACACTCACATTCGCGCACATACACGTACGCATTTGGATCACCGGCTGACCTGTGCCCACCCCAGCTAGAGTTGATGGGGTGTCCTGGGCCTCCGCTCCTCCCCCAGCAGCCTGGCCTGAATCTGGCTCCACAGACCCAGCCTGTGGCTTCCAGTCCTGTCCTCTCTTGCCCATGCTGGGGTAACCTCCCAAGGGCCCCCATTAGATGAGCTGCAGTCTAGGCTGGTGGACAACTCTTTTCCCCAGATCACTCTGGACGGGTCTCTGTGCTTCCAGAGCCTCTGGCCTGGTTCCCCAGCCTCTTCCCTGCCTCATGTTTTTCACAAACAGATTTATAGCCCTTCCGGCCCTTTCCACCCTTCTGCTGTGGGCAGCACCCTGTGCCCTCTGGGGCTCTCCCTGAGCCCTTTCCTCTTTAGACTTACTGAATGTGCAATGGGGTTGGCTGGGATTTGGGGGTAGGGAAGGACAGAGGATGACCGGAGTTGTCCTGCCCAGCCTTTAGCAGTCTTCTAGGAGTGGGCTCTGACTGCTCTGGTGTGAGTCATTTGACCCTGTTTTGTTTCCCTCACCTCCTGGGAGACAGCAGTACTCTGCTTTGGCCTTGATTCTACCCACTCAGCATCTCACATCAGCAATATCTAGTTTGTGTAACTCTTTGGGAGGGCAGGGCCAGTCAGGCCAGAACTGCATCCTCCAAGCTGGACTGATAAGCCCCCCTTTTGAGGATTCCAGACTAACCCTCCAAGGTTCCCCTATACCCCAAGTGGAGTCTAGGTCCTAGGGATTTCCTAGGAGGTGTGTCGCTGTGATGGGCACCTAGGAATCCATGGTTAATACCTGCACCCTGTCTTCCAGAGGCTGTAGGAGTAGGTGTGTATACTGAGGGAACTTCTCAAAAAGCTGGCCAACCCAGTGGCCGCCCTCAGGCTGCCAGCCCACTCTGCCCCAGAGCCACTGAAAGATAAGCAGTGACCAAGGTTTTGTAGCCTTCTGGAATGTTTTCTCCATGTACAAATGTATATGTTATGTCTCAATTTTGTGCTTAAATAAAAAGACATTTTCAGACAACACTGGTCCTTGTGTCTGCTGGACTTGGGAGGATGGGGGTGGCCCACAGGGATAAGAGCTGAGGGCTCCAGCGATGGGTGAGAGGGGCCAGTCAAGATGCTGCATCTGGGTGCTGGCCAAGTGGCTCAGTTGGTTAAGAGTGCGAGCTCTGATATTGTATAATATTGTCAACTATAATTGAATATATATATAGTTATGGGATGTGCAGTATAATGGAGTGGAGTCAATGGAATTGTAATAGGTATGATGTTGGGGGGTAAGGGGAGGGGAGTTGTCACTTTGAGGGGTAAAAAGTATAATGATTGCACTGTGTTGTACACCTGACACTAAAAAAAAAAAATTAAAATTAAATATATTGGAAATTTTATAGCAATTAGATAACATCTGTGAAAACCAATCACAAAAATTCAGGTTTGGGGCCGGCCGAGTGGCGCGATGGTTAAGAACTCGCTTGGGATGCCAGAGGGCCCCGGTTCGGATCCCACATATGAGGGCCA